AGGTTGAAGGCAATGGCTATTAGGTTGGATAACATTGCTATTAGTTTGGGTGGCCAGCTTTATTGGTTTTCATTCGCTTGGACCTTTGGACCTTTGTATTTCACGTCGCTTCGCTTCGCTGTGCAGAAAATGTCAGTCCTTCATTTCGCCCCTCTCTTCGTGCGTGAAGGTTCGGGTCGAGAGGTCATAGCGGTGAAAGGGGTCATTCAAGTGGTGCAGCAAAGATCTCAGCAAAGCACCAAAGAGCCGTACATATGCAAGACACATGTCAGAATATTTCAGTTGTAGTAGCTCTAAAACCGGAAACTAAGTTCACCACAGATCTAGCTTTGGCAATACCAGCTTCCTTGGTGTTAAGATGATTATTGAGATGTCTCAAGGCCAGGCTACCTATATAAGTTATATATATAAGCCTTAAAAATTCAAGTCAAGTATCCCCGTCGCAGCAAGCGGCTTATCTATGGATCCTCCTGGGCCATAGGCCAGTGTCTGCCTCAGGAAGGGAACACAAAATGCACTACTTCGAAGCGAAGTATGGATCCCAAACAGGCCTTCTACAAATTTGCCAAGTTGCTGCTTGGGATGGTTCTGTCGCAGCTCATGGGCGACATAGCCTGGACACCAACAACACATGGATTCCGAAAGCGCGACCTTTTTTTTCCGGTTTTTTTCCAACGTGTGTTTCCGCAATGTTTGTGGTCAGGGGTTGCCACAAAGAGAAAAATAAAAAGAACTAGCGCAGGAGGCAAGGGACAGAAGAGTAGAAGGAGAAGGAGAAAAAGGAAAAGGAGGAAAAGAGGGAGGAAGAGAAGGAGAAGGAGAAAGAGAAGGAGAAGGAGAAAGAGAAGGAGACAGAGGAGCGAGGAGAAGGAACAAGAGAAGGAGAAGGCTCTTCCCGCTGCATTCTTGCAGATCACAATACAGTATACACCAGCCATGTGTGAATTAAGTTTTAAAAGCGGGAGGGGGTGCGGGGGAGGGAGCAGCGCCTCCCCCGCAAAAGAAAAAGTATAGTGAGCATCCCGGCACTGACACATTGCTCTCCTTCCTCCCTTCCTCCCTTCCTCCCTTCCTCGCTTGCTTGCTTGCTTGCTTGCTTCCTTCCTTGCTTCCTTCCTGCCTTCCTTCCTTCCTTTTTTTCTTCCTCAGCAACAGAACCTGGGAAAAAAACCCAAAACCCGTTGGAAAAACAAAAAAAGGAGTTCCATTCCGAAATCTTGAGACTCTCAAAAGGAATGAGACAACATTTGAGGCCCGGGCCAGGGAGAAAAGGCGCTCCCAAATTCGATCGGGCGGTGCGGGGCGTGAAGGTTGCTGTCATTGCGTCGGCGGCGTTGGCCGTTGATGGTTCACGCCTTTCTACCAAGGCCTTGGGCCTACCGGCTGCATGTGAGATCACTTGCATTTGACATCAATTGACCAAGTATACACCTTCGTCAAACATGGGAAGTGTTGTACCATGTTTCAGCGCACAAGCACTTTTCTGCGAAAAAAAGAAAACTGTACATACCTGGTGGTTGCAACATATGCGCAAACAAACTGTACGCCACACGGGCTTCAGGGCACCGATGCTGCTTCTCTATCGAACATCCTTGTGCAGCTTGGAATTTCCATCATGAGTTTGTCGGCACTCACGAGATTGACCTGCATGCACGCTCAGGGAACAATTTGACAATGCCCGACCAGCATACAGGCACGCTCAGAGATGCGAGAACTACTTTGTTAGAAGACTGGATTGTACCTCAACTAAAGTTCGGGAGACTTCAAGAGCCTGACTGAAGGAAAAGCTGAAAGTACGAAGTTGTGAAATGCTTGACTAATTATGCTAAGCTTGATCAGGGTGTGCGTTGAAAACGTGCAATGCATTTTCCAGAAGTTTCTTTGTGGCGTGTCTAGCCTTTGGGTTGAGGCCGGTTGACACTTTGATGGACTTCTCCACCGCCGTTTGTTCTCCTGCTGTTGGAATCCACCCATGGCAGCCTAGTGGAGCATCAAATGTTTGGCATTCACACAAAAGAATTACCAAAACTTAGAAGTGCTGCTTCTCTGCTTGGCATCCGGCCCATTACAATGCATGGCCTGCCCCGTCTTGAGCAATGAACATCCTCAAACAAGGGGAGGCGTGTCCAATCTCATGCGAACCCATTGAGGTCGGTGAACTCCTCAATAGTAAAGACCATAATTAGGCTACAAAGTTGAGGTGCGAGAGCCGTGACAAAAAGAAACCCAGAACATATTGGCTTGTTGGACTTCCAAATCTTGCAGCACTGTGAGAGATTTTCCAGCTGTCATGGTGTTGCCAACAAAGTCTCTGTCAGCGGCCACACCAGTCCATTTGCAACACGCTCAGCCTCAAGCAGCATAGGTATCGCTTTCCTGGACTGGCTCATTGGCTTCTCAATGCATTGCACACATTGCTCTACAAGTTTGAATGAAGCGTTTTCCTCCACATCTCATGTCCCTTGCAGCACTTCAAGTGTATTTGGATGCATTTGATGCCTGCTGATTGCTGGCATGCATTTGGACAACAGCCAACACACAGCTACCCCACACAGCTAGCCCATGTATGACGATGCTATGAAGTCATCTTGTGTTTCCTATTGTGCTATTGTGGGACTCCACGTGATGAAAGTACAGAGAAACCCCCCTCTCTCTTGCAGCCGCCCTCTTGTAGCCGCAACCCACTCCTCTGCAAGATGTGCTTTCCACCTGGCACCTACACGAAGCCGAAGCTGCGCTTGGTTCAAGCAAGCACTCCAGCTGTCTAAAAATCAATGTTGCACCAGCTGTCTACGACTTGTATGAGACTGCAAGCTGTTTCAGCTCCCCACGGCCAGCTCCATGACCAGAAACCTCAGGGAGACTGGTCTGTGGCTTGCGGCTAAAGGCATGGATGGCATGGCCGATGTCGAGGTGCTGCGGTGACTGAAAGACATCGCCCACTGCAGCGGTATGGTCCCGGGTTGCCAATTCAAGCTGGGCCTGACTTATCCCACGTGCACGTCAGCCACACATGCAAAACTGACAGGCCTTCAGGATCTTGGCAGTTCCACGAGTCATGCTGCGAAGAGCATTCCGGTCCTGATTGCATCTACTCGGCTTCCACCTTGAACTCTAGACCATAGTTTGATGAAGTCAGGTCCTCACTTGGAACCTTTCCCAAAGACGCTTCGCTCAATACGGTGGGACTGAGCTTGCAAAGCACGGAGACCGTGACAAACAGTTACAGTACACGATGTTACACGATGTCACGATGCTACACGCTGCTCGTGGTCCTGAGGCCCCGCTGGACACCAGAGACTCGGCACGTCCTGCCACACCGTGCGCGAATGCGTTTGAGGCAAAACAAAGTGGAGCCAGTGAAGAGTGGAGACGTGGCCTGGCTGAATTTGCTCACCAAATGCTTGAAAAAGGAGGCTCGAAGACGGGCACTGCTTGCCCTGCGGTTAGTGACAAGTGCTGCACGACTCGTCAAGAAACACTTATATATGTATATACAGTATAATATTAAAATAATGAATGCCACATAATTTTGAGTGCCATTTCACACGCAATCAAGGCCAGGAGCAGGATGTCCTCAGAGCTGCCCAGAACCTGCGACTATGAGAACCACGAGATCACGTGCATGTCCAATGTTCCATTGTCAAGCGTAGGATAATCACCCTCAGTTTTGTCATTTTCTGCGGCCAGCAGTTGGTTACATGCCTGCAGCACGGTTCTGCACAGGACTTTGCTGTGGCTATGTCCAAGACAATCAGAACTAGGATTGGGAAGCGGCCGGTTTGCCCACCACATCGCTACACTGAAACTTATGTGCCACAAATGTGTGTGTGTGTGTGTGTGAGCGTGTCTGTGCGCAACACTCTTCTATCAAACGATTATATACTTATATATATATATCTCTCTCTCTCTCTCTCTCTCACTGCAAAGGTGCAGCACAGGTGTATATCAGTCAAACATCCGTTGTAATGGCTATGAAGCCTCGCTTTAGAATAGACTTAGATCTGGGACCACACCACAGCAGCTGCAGGATGCTGAGAGGCCTTGCCCTTGTGTGGGCAAGCCTTGAATTCGGCCGGAAGCAATGGCATGGTGGGGGAATCACTCCAGGATGCTGGTGGTCATTGCCTGCCACGCCATGTCATTCTATGCCCAGCTTTGGATGTTTGCAAGCCTCTCTCTCTCTCTCAGACAGTGGCACGGCAAACTGGGAAAAAAAAACGGCATCGAAAAGAGAGAGAGAGAGAGAGCGCTTAAAGTGAATTGTGCAATTTCATCTTTGAAGGGCTATGCCATGCTGACCCGCCTATGATGATTGTCCGGACATCTTCATGCCAACCACCACGATCACCACCACGACAGCAATCAGGCCAATGATGACAACGGGATTCCTTCAAAATGAGTTTTCGATGTAGGGCAAAACCAATATCGGCCTCTGCTAGTTGCAAGCTACCACAGTCAAGAAATGCAAATCTAGAAAAAACCATGCCTGACCTCCAATTCAGCACTTGTCTTTTTACCGCTTTGCATGATTGAAACGTCATAGTTAGGACTTGAAGGACCTACCATTCTTCAATTGGAACACCACAGGCTCGAGCGTCAATGCAGCTAGCTTGTCAGCTGCATTGTTCCTCTTTCTTTTCAAAAATCTCTCAGGCGCGATCACGCAGCATTCCTTCTGTCCAGCCTGCCAAAGTTTGGGCGACCTTGCCCGCAATGGCACCCACCTTTTTGTTCTTCACAAAGTGCTCATTCACAAGATGGCTGATACCCAAAACAATTGCCAAATAGAATGGGAAGAAGGAATGTGGCATTGGCTTCCCCCAAAGCTTCTTTGCAATGGCCTTCTTGTAGAAGATCTGCCCTACAGGGCCATGAACGATGAACATGGGGAATGCAATGGATCCCAAGTTGGCCATTGTCTTGCTGCCGAAGAACTTCGTAATGGCCGATGGCTGGGCTGATAAGGCATCTCGATGTATGGCGGTGAGGAACTCAGTGAAGAGTGGAACGAAGAGGACCCCACGGATGATTGCATCATTGAAATCGAACTTGGTCAGCCTCAGAAGCAAGGAGGAGTAGGCAGCCAAGAAAAGCCACAAGGGATTTGCTGGTTGCATCTTCTTCTCCTCCTCGGTATCAAGCATCACGTGCCGAGCAGCAACAATGCCCATCGTCATCTCCACAAGAGCCCAGAAAGGATGGAAACGGGTCAGGTTCCAAATCAATGGATGCATCACCTTCCCATCCACCGGATGCTCAAAGTGGCTGTGGAAACGGGAGGTTTCAGAGTAGGAGACCTTTTGCAACAAAGAGAGGCTCGTGAGTGCCAATAAGAGCTTCTGCAGACCGTTTTTGGTGAGCTGCGCCACTTGTGGCAAAACAAAGGTCGGCATGGTGAGATTCGAGAAGGTGAGTGCTGACAAGAACCAAGTAGGCTGATTCCAAATCTCTGCCTCCTTGGGGAACCATGCCTGCAACATGCTGAAGTTCAAAAAGGCTCGGAAGGCAATCATCTTCCAGGTTGCATTGAAATTCCTTTCCACCCAAATGAACATCGGTGCAAAAATTGCCGATGACACAAAATGTAGCGGGTAGTAAGCCATGACCCGTTGCCAAAAGAAGAGCTCTGGATTCGCCACCTTCTTCTCTTCAACACCCAAGGCACCAAGCTTGGTGGTCGTATAAGCTGAGACATAGCCGCTGATGACAAAGAAGCCACCCACCAAGACATTCTCCTGCGTGAGGAGCTTCAATGCTGTGAGGTTGCTGGTGCTGAAGCGGGCGAAGTGGGCCACCACAATGGGAAAAACAAGCGCGAAGCGGCAGCCATCAATGCAGTCAATTCGCGGCTTTGAGGCCTTCTTCGCTTCTGGCTTTGCTACAGCCTTGGCGTTTGGGTCGCTCATTGTTGCAAAACTCCACACCTGGGGGTCAACGCAATGAAACACTTGAGCCACAACAGCTGAGGCGATTTGTTTGACCCGTTGTGAGATCCATGCGCATCAGGAAGAGTCATCCCACGTGCGAAGAGTCGTCCACCGGCATGAGCTGTTGACTGGCATCATGTCAAGGTTTTCGTCTAGGTTGGAGGCCATCGTTATTAGGTTGGAGGCCATCGCTTTCCCCAATGTCTCTAATGCAGCTGAAGTGCATACCGCCATCACCGCCGCTGCCAGCAGTCCCATTTTGCACGCCATGACGCGCACGAAGTTGCGAAGCACTTAGCTGGTCATCTTTGTCACCTTGGAACACGCCGACGCCAAACTAATCCACACCCACAGGCTAAAACACGCTACAGTGGCTACAGACCTCTAGTACGTCCTAATTTTTAATACATACGCACTGTATATATCGACAGCATATAGGACCCAAAATGTTCAAACGGAATGCTTCGCAGCTCCGAGCGCTTTCTAGACTCAAGTGACTCAAGGATGCCCAGGGTTTTTTTCGCTCGGAAAGGGAGCCAAGATAGCTAAGGGCCCGCCTCCGGCTTGGTAGCGCTTGCGCAGTTCTGACCTTGGTGCGCTGTCAAGCTTGACAAAGCTTTGTCACCTTTGTCTAAAATGACTCACCGCTGAAATGACTAGAAATCATGAAAATGTCACGAAACGTCTGAGAAATGCATGTCATATCAATGTTATCATCATCTGTTGTGTTTGAGGGGCGCTGAAGCTTGGTCATCAGGCATGGCCTCGCAGAGTTTGGGGTTCGTGTGACGCAAACCATGACAAGTAGTGGAGTGTCAAACTTCAGCCTTGAAGTCCCAGCAGAACACAACTTTTATCAGAAGGCCCCTCTTTGAGTCAAATTGGCTGCGGCTACAGCGAGCAAGGAATTCAGTCAAGGTGCCCCAGCCTGTCACTTTGCATGTCACAACGCTCGGCCAACTTATCATAAGTATTATGATGCTTTCACTCGGCTGAAAGGCCTCCTTGCTTGCGAGGAGCGCCCAAGCAAATCCGCCTGGAAATCCAAAGGATGTTCCAAGCAGCTGCCTATGCCTAGGCAACTGCACAGACCCAACTTGAGTAGTGTGTCCAACGAAATAATTCGGTATAATATATATATATATGTATATATTTTGTGGTTGACACAAAGGTAGCAACAAAAGATCCCCCTTCCCTCGCACAGCCGCGTGCGTTTTCCACTCACAGCTCACCTGAAGGTTGGTACGAACGGTCGGGCGCCTCGCCCTGCAGTGTCCTCACTGCTTCTATGGCTCAGGTCACGGGTGACCCACCCTACACCACCCTTGCGGCCTCGCACACTCGTGGCTTCGGACGTGAACACACCTGAGTGGGTCAAGACTGGTTCCTCAGTGACCGAAAGGTTCGAAATTCACACTCATCAAAAATTCTATCAATCTTTTTCTTTGGTTGTGCGTCGATCATCCTTCTTGCTGCTGGTCTCCCATTAGAGGGATCCCGGACTCAAGCCACCTAAGGCGTGTTCTGCTGTCAGCTCGCTCTTTCAGCACTTGCAGTTCGTCATTTAGTTGATACATGCCTCGTTGCAAAGTGTATCGGAGGAAAGTTCCTTGCATCACCTTAGTTAGTGCATCAGCGAGCTGAGCTCCTGTATGGACCCATCTTAATTGAATGCCTTCGGATAGCAAATCTTTTATTGCCTTTGCTTGAAGTTGTGTACGGAATTCCTGGCAATTTGGTTGAGCAGTTCGGGTAACCAAATCATACAAAGATTTGCAATCTGTGACAGCTACTGATCGTGGCAAACACTGGGCTAAGGCTGTGGTAGATTGGATTGGTTTGGGTTCACTCTTAAAAACCTCATGTGGTCGTTTCCAATTGACTTGGGGATTTTGGATCCATGCCCAATAGAGTCTCATCCAAGATAGCTGGTCTAAGCTTGTTTGGAGCGAAGTTGTTTCGGCTGACAAAGTACTCGTAACTACTTTCTGGATCTTGCGGCAACCCCAGGACAACGGGCTGACTGGGCATTGATAGTTCTCACTTATATCCCTATGGGTGGCCAAGATGATCATGCCTGTGTGACTTTCTGGGCTCTTGGCCGACGCAAATGATGCGTCCGAGAATAACAAGAATCTGAGATCCTTGATTGGGATGGGTTGGATTCTGATGCATGTGTCTTTGTATCGTTTTGCTTCATGAAGTACACGGTTGGCATCGTGCAACGTTTGGACCGTGGCTTTGTTGATCTCACTTTGGATGTAGCTTAGTCGACTTGAAAGATCCGGTCTCGTGTTGATGCTTGCGTACTGAAGACTTCCCACAAGTGCACGGAGCGAGTGTCTCTCTTCGGAGGTCACTTCATCCGTCAGACATGTTCGTCTGCTTGCATTCATGTGGATTGGCTCAATCTTGCTTACATACTTGGATTGGGACATGATGATACTTTTGTCTGCCTGTTGGTTCATCTCAACACCAGTGAACGTGAATTGACCTACTTTCTTTGATCCAAATGGGAATTTGGCTTCTAGCTTTGAGATTTGTTCTTCAAAGTATTGATCTCCTCCACCTAGTCCATCGTCAACATGAACTCCTAGGACCCCCGAAATTTTGCTTTGTCCTGGTTTGTATAGTACGTATGCGCATGGGTCGAAGGGTGCTGGAATGAAGTTCAAATCACGAAGGGTCCGATCCAATTCCTTATGCCACAAATAAGGAGCATCGATCAAACCGTAGGCTGATTTTTCGAGTTTGCAGATTTGATTGGGTTGAAGTTTCAACGCCTTTCGAAGTTCTTCAACAGGTTCCAGGCCTAGAACTCGATCTTCCTGCGTTTTGCCTTGCAAAAATGCAGCTTTGATATCGAAGCTTTTCAGAGTCCATCCCATGGATGATATTGCTTGCAACAAGAGCATTTTGGATTGCTTTCCAAGTGTCGGCGAGTCCCGGGGTATGCTGTCTAACTGGGGATCTTGATATCCAAGGACTACTAGACGTGCTTTCGGTTTATGGGTCTTTGGTCCTGGTCTGACGTTCTCAGTTGATCCGGTTTGAAGGTCGTCAGCATCAAGGGGTTTCCATACGCATACCCAGCGGCAACGCATTACCTGTTCCGGACACAGCTGATCCCGAAAGATTTTACTCACCGTCCCTGTGTTTAACCAATTTGTGATCTCCTTTTCCTTTGCTTGACGGAAGAGAGCTTGTTCTTTGGTGGACAATTGGTGCATCTTTACTTCTGTTCGGTCACGCTTGGTGGTGGTAGTCATCATGATAAGATCTGTTGCTGGTGAGTTTTCATCCCATTTCATCATTGTTTCTTGGGGAAACAGGAATTCAGCTTTCCATCCTACGGCTTCTGAGTCTATTTGGGTTTGGCACCAGTTGACCTGATCTTCTACACTTAGTAGGGAGTCACATACGAGTTCATCACTGAGATCGGATGCTTCGCTTGGGACCGGCACACTTGCTGCATCCTGATGACCGCCGGGGTCACTCGGCAATTCGATGCTTTGTCGGCTCGCTGGAGACACTTGACTCTCTGGAATCGAGGGCTCTTGATCTGGCTGGACCTCTGACGAATTCGATGCGTTTCCTGTTCCTACGTGTTGTTGGATTATATTGCTATCTTCTTGGCTCTCTGGTGGAGTTGCGGGTGCTTGTTCACGAATGTTGGCATTTTGTGTATCTTCGCCTTCAATCCCTGCGATCGGACTTAGAGCTCGGGGGATATGCTGGGCTTCCATGGCACTTACGGGTCGAACATGTTCAGGGGCTATCTTTGCCAAGCTTCCTGCGTGATTACACCAAAGACAATGGGGACCTTCTTGTTGGATGACTCTGGCTGGACCAAACCACCCCCGTTGGGTTGGAGTCTGTCTCCATAGCATCACCCAAGTTCCCCTGTCATAGGATCCTCGGTGAGGACAGCTTCGCCGGAGAACAGCTCTTCGCAACGCAGAGCTGTTGTCTGCACAGTGAAAAGCTCGTCGTGCAGCTTCGCGGTATGCCAGCTTTTCTCGAAATCTGATTCCTTCCTGGGTGTCATCGTCTGCCAGGAGGTGCGATGGCAATTGCTCGTCCGATGAGATTGATGCTGGAATTCTGGACCCTTTTCCAAAAACAAGAGTTTCTGGGGAGTATCCCTGTTTCTGGCTCAGTGCATTCTTGGCAGAAGTGCAGTGCGATAGTGCTGTCTGCAGGTTGGTGTATGACGTTATTGGATGTTCCTGTTCATACTTCTTGAGCATTTCCTGTAGGATTCCACCATGTCTTTCTACTTTTCCGATTTGCCAGTGTGCGCCTGGTGGGGTAACTATTGCTTTGATGTTGAACTGGCTGAGTCTGTGTGAATCTCAATCGGAGCCCCTGCCCATTGGAGCCATCCATTGAGCACCTTGTCTATTGCATCATCACTGCTTTTACCTGGGCTTGCACATGCTACCTGGTAGTTTGTTCCATAGTCGATGATGTGATAGAAGTGGAAGTTGGTTCCTGCCAGATTCGTGTATACAACACCATCTATCCCAATACAGTCGTTGAAGTCTAGCTCACGTTTGATTGTAGAAGGTCTTTGATGTTTGGGTTCCTTAGTATTCTGACATACGGAACAACTTAGGTCCATGGCAGCTTGACACAATCGGGGTGAGTACCCCTGTTGACGCAGCATTGAACACAGCTTTTGACCATGAGGGTGTCCTAGGTTCTGATGCAATTTCAGCAAGAACGATTTTTCTTCGGCTGATATGGTCTTGAACTTTGGGCCATGGTCAAAGCTCGGCATATGGAGTTGACTCGAACTCGCTCCTGTCTCTTTGGTCTGATCCGGATCCAGCTCTGTGACAGGTGCTTGGTCACTACTTGGCAGGCTGACGGTTGCCTCCTGCGGCTCGACGCTTGTTCCCGTTGCCTCGGGACTCATATTCTGTTCGGTCGAATCACCTGATGCTTCTGACTTGGATTGGGGCAAACATGCATACATTGTGATATTGACTCTTGCGGGATGTGCTGGGCGGACTTGCTGCCGATGAGACAGGTCTTGCCAGTATTCCCAGTCCTTTTCTACTTGGATTACCCCCCCTATTCGGCTTACGATGATGGCACGACGATATGGGGCCTCATTCTTTACCAAATCCCTTGGCGGTGGCAATGTTCGATCTGATCCCTTACATGCTTGAACTTTCTTGATTTCTTTTTCGGGGAACATGTTTTGAAGCCTCTCCAAGATTTGGTGGTTTGTGATAAAAGTCTTCCCTACTCTTGGCAACATTGGTTGGATGTCCTTGATGATTTCTTCTAGTTGTCTCTGAGGTGACATGTTCATACTCTGCGATTCGGCCGTCTTGCCGTCAATGCGGCGGCGCTTGCACTCGTTCGACAATTGCTCCAGGGGTGTTGGTGGCAGTCGCCCACCTTGGGACTTCTGCATGGGAGAACTCACACGGATCCGCTTGGATGCACTTTCCTCACTCGGTTGATCTATTCCTCTGGTTACAAGGGCAGTAACCCATGGCTCATGTTTCACTTTCAACATCACCTTAGCTACTTGTCTTGCAAACTTTCTTGGATAGTTCTCTGTATAGCTACTGACGGTGATTCTCCCGAGAGGCGTTGTCACGGATCCGGCAATGGGTCTGTGCTCATGATCTTGACGACACGCCCGGCCATGCAACGAGGCATACATCTCTTGCGATGTCGTTCTTACAGCCATCTCCTTTTGTATGAGTTTGTTCGTTTCTGGACATGTCAACTGGCCTACGCGACACATGTCGAAATTGGCTTCCTGAGTATATGAATACAGCTCTTGCAGGAGTGGGGTCTTGAACATGATGGATTTTCGTGGCTGCTCCCAGTGCATGTGGTTTCCTAGCTGACGTGACATGCGAAGCAAGACTACTCCTAGCGCAAGTTCGAACAAGTGTGACTCTCTCTCTCGTTGAACATGTTCACACAATTGGATTGATCTCATTTCATTGAACGTGTTCCATGCGCTCCATGGTCCACAGGTGGGACTGAACCATATGTGACGGGGTCTTTGTTTCCACACCATTTGAAACAGAACACTTCTCCCCTCCTTGGTTTTGAGGTCCCCCTGCGCCCTTCCAAAACGGTTGGCTCTGCCGCCAAGCAATTGGACTTGCTTCGTCAGTTCACTGGCCTCATGACAAAACACTTCCAGCAAATGTAGACGGCTGCATCCGTTCGAGATCACTGGATCACCCCTTGCTAGACTGGCTTCCTTTGAGATTTGCTGAACCAGTGCATGGAATTTATGGGACAGACTGTGAGTCTTGCCAAAAAGATGGCACATGGACGATACATGTATATCAGCTTCCTCGAAGGAGTCTAGCCATGACGAGCTCATGAAGCCCGGAGGTGGGCAATGATCTCCTGCATCGCACCTTCGATGGTCTGAAGGCGGGTGTCCATGGCTGCCATCTCCGTGTAGATCTCTGGCTGGATCTCGATCTCCTGAACTGGTTCCCAGGATTCGTCCTCGGCAAGATCTGCCAAGTCCTGCGGGGTCACTTCCTGAATCGGCTTGGCCTTGGCCTGTTCAGACCCAGTTGGTGCTCGGCATAGGTCACCCTCAGTGAGATGTAGTGGATGAACTTCTGATGGTTGACCTTGTTCGACGAGTGGTAACTTGCCTGGAACCACTTCACATACTTGCCCTCCTTTTCCCACATCTCTGAGTAGGTCCGACCGAGATGGGCTGATCCGAAATCGATCTTGGCTTGGCCCATTTCGTCCAGTGATAGGAGCTTGAAGGCTTCGAGCTGATCGAGGGCTTCTTCCTTCTTTGCTTCCCCCATGACACGTGCCAAGCGGGCACTCAGAGCGGCTGCTTCGGAGGTCGGCATGATAGTGATGCGGCACAGGTGAACGAATGGGATGGTCACACGTGTGTGATTGCACAGATCCGGTCTTGAACCCAAAACGGATGACACCGGGCTGGACCCCCCCTGGAACCGATTCGAATGAGACTTTCTCACCCCCGCGAACACTCGGACGTTCGTTTGGTTTCTTTGTGTTCGTATGGGTCTTTGTTGATTCGGGCATGGCGGCTTCGAACTGTTGGATTCTGCTTGTTACAAGACCTGTCCTCACCTGAACGTTCTGTTTCATCATGGTCTTGGTTTCCGACTGCACTTGTCCAGGCTTCTGGACAGAGACACTTGGCAAGCTTTTGCAATTCAAAGTGGCGAAGGTCTCGGCAGGTTCAGCTTCGGCATCTTGACTGGTGGGTGTGATCAGATCATTTAGGTCAACTAAAAACAAACCCTTGGCATTCAGCTGAATTGGAATATTGCGCTTCAAGAGAGTGCTTTTGATCACTTCACCAGCTATATCTACGGTGGCTCCGATGGCTCGCAGCAGAGTATTCGACAGCAGGAAAGGTGTATGGCCTGGCACTATGGCAATCTTGAGCTTCAGCGGTCCGATTGGGACAACGAGCGCACGCTTGCTTTCAAGTGTCCCTTGATTCCCAAACCGAAAAACCACTGAACAACGACACCTTTGGACCTGCTTCCGAACCTTTGGCCTTAGTGCGGCTAGGAGATTGGCTACGAAACCGCTTCCTATGACGGTCTTAGTAGCACCTGTATCTACGATTCCCAGCTCGAGAATGCACTGGCTTCGGTGTCATGCATCGCCTTGGCTTCAGGTGATTGGGCGGTGCTAGCAAACGCACTCTCTGGCAAGCTAGTCCTGACATCAAAATTCTCACACTCGGTGATCATTTCCCCTTTGTGGGCTAAATCAATGATTTCCCCTTCATTGGTCTCCCGCAAACCCCTCAGAACACCGGTGTCCCTTGATTCACAAACACACAAAACTTGTTTCGTATTCTCTTGAGTGGCGTTGAGCGTCTCTTTGGTCAGCTCTGCCAAATCCATGAACTCCAGTGGCAGCGCGTCCTGCTCATCATTCACTGTCACCAGTGTAGGAGCAACAGCTGTCGATGGGACCGACTGAGATCCACGTTGCGGGCATTCAGCCTTCCAATGGCCTTTTCGGCCACAAATCCTGCAGCTGCTCTCCATGATCCTCTGCTGGAGGCTCTTTCTATTGCCAGAAAACTTTGAGGAGTAGGGGGATCGCTTTCCTTTTTCACCCCCTTTCCCTTTTCCTTTGCCTTTGTTCTGACTTGTTGGTCAGAACCCACGGCTTTTGAAGCGCTCTGACAGGCGGCGACGGGCATCCATGTATGATGATTGCGTCAATGCTAGATCTTCGTTGTCTTGCACTGCATCCAACATTGTGGATTCATACTCCATGATCATGGCGGCGTCCTCGTCACCATCATTTGCAAGACTCTCAATCCATTCTTCCTCGGTCCAATCATCGAGATTGTAGGTGGGCTCGTCGGGTGCTTGGTCGTGACCATCAGCTTCTTGGGCAATGAACGCATTGGCCTCATAGGTTTTGGTCCTTGGATTGTTCTGCTTTCCGCTGGAGTGGACCTCATGGAAGAATCGACTCCCAGGAGCTTCAGAGTGGATACCACCTCTCTGTACTCCAGTGAACCCTGCGATTCAACAATCAGTCTCTTCTTGTCTTCTGAGCTCAGGGCTGAGTTGCGAAGCAAGATGTATGCACGAAACTCATCCATGCCGACCTTCATGCTCAGCAACTCTTCGAATTGATGATCGTGCCGAGCTAGATAGCTCTCATGGGTCTCGTCGGCTCTTTGGACCGTGCTGTAGATTGCACGCTCAAACCTTTCAAACTTGTCCTCCAATCGGGATTTTCCCCAAATCCCTCCAAGGGCCTCCACGATGGCCTTCACTCCCTCCAAGTTTCCAACACGCAGCTTCTTTGGGTCCAGTCTGGCAACTCTCTGAAAGGCTGATCCCTCACATTGCAATGCAACTCGTGGGGCAAGCAGGTGTAGTTGTTCTGGAGAACTCTACTTTCCGTGACCATTCAGTGAGGTCCCTCTCACCAGGCTTGAAAGATGGAACCTGGCTCCATGGGAGATTGCTCAAACCTCCTGAGCCAGCTGAATCACCTTCCGGTGGCATTGGGCTGTTTCCTCCCTGGAAACCGCAGCTCAACAACTCTGTGACAACACCACCAAGACAATGTGCAACCTGTCGACTGCCTTGCGGCCAAACAACGTATTCACCGACTCAACCACGCAGTCAACAACAGCCAAGCACAAGGGTCAGGTGTTGTCCTGGAGCTTTAGCGGTAGCTCCGCTACCAATGTGATTGACACAATGGTAGCAACAAAAGATCCTCCTTCCCTCGCACAGCCGCGTGCGTTTTCCACTCACAGCTCACCTGAAGGTTGGTACGAACGGTCGGGCGCCTCGCCCTGCAGTGTCCTCACTGCTTCTATGGCTCAGGTCACGGGTGACCCACCCTACACCACCCTTGCGGCCTCGCACACTCGTGGCTTCGGACGTGAACACACCTGAGTGGGTCAAGACTGGTTCCTCAGTGACCGAAAGGTTCGAAATTCACAATATATATATATATATGTGTGTGTAGCTTTTTCAAACTCTACAAGGCTGCTTGCGGCTTTCACCACTCACTTTAAAATGATAGCCGATAGCCTTGTTTGATCTAAGGTGCCGTGCCCAATGCTTCACCTCAACTGTTAAAGCACGAAAATGCTCAAAGCGTCTTCGAAGCTGCCGAGAAAGTGCCCAGGCATCCAACGCTGCAGCAAGCCCAACCTGTCCATGCAAACACTAACTATATAACTAAATGCAGAAAGAGACATCCTGAATCATTGCCATCGACGTCTCTTTCACATCAGTCCATTAGTGTGAAAGTGAAAGGAACATGAATGAACATCATCATCAGGTCAAAGAAGGGTCAGTCCCAGCCTGGCACTGGGGACTCTGTGTAAAGAGAATCGCTTCCAAAGACTTGAAGGCAGCGTTTGCAGCTGCATTTGCAATGACAGGGTCCGTGGCTGCGTTGGTGTGACTGCATCGCAGCTCTGCTATCTGCTCAGCCGAGAGTTCTGTGAACTGCACCTCGATGTGCACGTCACCGGCCTTGGCTGAGCAAGTGCAAAGGCCGTCAATTAAACAACACATACGGAAGAAAGAACTGAATGGGATTTGTTCGAGAAGGCCACATTTGAGCCGGGATGCCTGGAATTTAAGCAATGGCACAGTGGCGTCCATTGCCCGATCCACTGGGCCAATGCCGTGCTGCTGCAGTGCTTCCGAAGCAAGATCGAAAAACTTGGTGGAAGAGATGCTGGAAGAGCAAGCCAACACATCCACATCACTGCCCTGCAGTCATCACAATGCCACGCAAACACGTGCGCCGCAATTGCGTTGATGCAAGGTAAGTGGATATCCAGTAAAAGGAGACTAGATGCTGAGAAGGTACTGAGTCCGAAATCCCAAGGGCCGCTGACCCCAAAAGGAAGAGCTCCACTGAGACGCTTTCAATGTCTTGTAGTGTGATGGCTCTCAATACATTTGACTCCAAAACAGCTGCTGGCTTTTGGAGCAGGACCTGCTCGTCTCCATTGCCTGATGTGAGGGGTGTAAAGTTATGTCGGTAGGACCGCCACTTATCTGCCAAACAAGTCGCTGGTGTCTCCAAGGCTGTCTTCGCACCAAAAGCGGCAAAGGACACCAAAATGATCGGATATGTACCTGCATCACTCTATTTGTGAGAGTTGCACACACCTGAGACCTCTGTGGAGTTTGTAAAAAGACCAAGGTGCCATGCTTGATCTTCTTGGTCAGGCTTGCTTGCATCCTACAGCTGCCACGGACACGGTGAACAAGAACAGTGGGTAATGGACCAATGGATTATTGCTTGAATTGAGTATTGAGCTAGTAACTATATAGAGTATTGAAATCCTTATCCTCCTCCCCTCATCACAGAGGTCCCGCCTCAAGACGAAATGGCTCGGTAGCAAAGAGTTCTGCATGGAACTGCCAGCTCCCTGATCCCACATAGATCCGATCGATTCTGCGGGGATCCTTGCAGCCGCCAACTGCAGCCACCACATGCTGTGCCACCGTGTTCCTCAGAAAAGCGCAAGTCCGTGCTGCCAAACCTGTGTTGCCATGCGCCAAGATGCACTCGCGGATCAAAGGTGTAGCCTTCATCCCGGTCCCAAACATCAATGAAGTTGCTGCTGATGGCTGGTGCAGAGTCATTAAAATCGCCGGCAATCAGTCCGAGGTCGCCTGGTTGAAGCCTGCCACCACTTTTAACCAAAGACTTCTTCGATAAATGGCTCTTGCGGTCTTGCGGCGATCTTTTCGTGAAAAAAACACCACCACCTTCTGCAGAGTTCTGTCTAGAGATTCGAGCACAAGCCTGAATGAGGCCAGTCTTAACTGTATAATATATAGTTTTAGAGCCAAACCAAGAGCTACGGGCGTGAGAAGTGTCACAAGATCACTCATTGAGAATACTCCCCTTTGAAGTTCGCCGTCTCAGGTTGTTGTTGATGTTGTTGTTGCCTGTCATTGATCAACGCTTCGCAGGTCTGCAGCTGCTCTACTCTATGGTTGCGTCGAGTGCCAGAGGCATCATTGAGGTCTGCTGTCAAATGGAGGTTGGCAATGACAACCGCCTCATCTCATGCCCCGCCAGGCCAAGCCATTCACGGTCTGCATGGCTTCCATGTGGCCATGCTTGTGCAACAAACAACTTTGTCAACATCACCAAAAGCAGTTAAGCAGCTACCTCTTTAGAGCGAAATGAGAGTGACATCGTCGCCAGTATAACAGTCTTGTGCTGACTGATGCCTCAGCACTTGAAGTGCTAAAACGGCGAAAGCTTTCTGAAATTGCTTGGCTCAACACGTGCACATACCACAGATCTCATTGGCAGTCGCGACAGAGTTAGCTGCCCAGATGGGTTCACCGATGCCTCAAAAATGGGGGCCGAAACAATCGAAGAATGCAAGCCGGAGCTTAGTTTGGGCTAGGGGCTGTGTCTATGTCACCGCAGCTTGACCAATAGTGATCTCGCACCCAGTGTTGAGCCAGTATTGTCTGCACGAAGGATGGCGTCACCTCCAATCACAACGCAGTTCGTCTTGCAAAGTGGTGCTTGGTGCTTGTCTAGTCGCTCTCGCCTCCTGCAGCAAAAGGATATCTGCTTGAGCCCTCTCTAGTTCTTGGAACATGTGGGCCATTCTCACCTTGCACAGAGCGGTGCCAAATGTGGGCGGCAAAGCAGCCTCTGAAGTAAGTGCGGCACCTCCATGTGCGTCTTTACATCACCAAAGAGCTCAAACAGAACGTTCAGGGTGAGAACCTCCACTCCCCATGGCATGATACCAGCAAAAGGGAGAAGAGATGAGCAGCTCTCCCACCTTCAGTTCGGTCAGCTGCACGAAATGTGTGGCTGGGGCTTGCACCCAGCAGCCTTCGTCACGGTAGTATTTCATTCCAGCTTCTTCCTTTGGAGTTACCTTGTTGCTGCCCCTCCGGCCACGAACCTGAACAGAGGATACAGGATACGCGACATTCGAGAGGCCTACGGCCTCACGCGTCTTCAAGCTGCAGGCATATGGCCGTCTATACTATTATAGTTACTATACTCCATCCCTATTGGAGAACACATGGTACAAAGACAGGGCATGAGCAAAACGAAATCGATCCTTCTGCAGTGAATGCCGTATCGGGTTGCAATGCCATGTAAGCAGCAGTTTTTTGCCGCTGAACCTTGATGATTCCCTGTTCTATCTTTTCAGCTGTCCTTCGGGCTTTCTGAATCGCTTCCACTGTTTCAGGGGCGGCTTCAGCGGCCTCGCTCTCGGCACTCTAGACTCTTACCAAGCGTGCAGGCAGTTAAACCCGGCCTCCGCATTGAAGATTCTGTCTAAACGATGCTTGCGATCCCACAATACTTCAGCTCCACGACGGAAGTAATAAATCCGATGTAAAGGGATATCCCCGCCTACCACGGGCTTGCTCCAATTGAGGGCAACTATGCACTCAACTATGCATATTAACTATGTGTCAGGCAGCTGCTATCGCTCCCTTGACGCACGCGCCTGGTTGAAAGTCAAGCAGTTTCACTTCCATTGGCCCCAGGAATCTGTCCTCATAACCTCACTGCACTAAGGCAAAGAATGTCTAAAGTCCAAACATCTACAGTAACCTGCTCCACTTGTAAACTGGCCCCTTACCAGCTCCCAGATAGTAATCGCCCTGTTGCAGCTAGGTGGCCTATGCTCACTTCTTTGGGGTCAAAGCGGCTGTCGTGCAGAATGCGATGGTACACATCCTCACTTGTTCGTAGCCTTGGCAGCAACATGATCACAATGCTTGTTAGCGAGTCGAAAGCTCCCCCCCTGTTGTAGGCGGGCTATGTCCAAGAGCGACAGGTTTCAACACGACTGTTGATTGAAGCCAAACGAGACAAGTCTCTTCTGAGACCTTTGGCTTTCCTCCTCTCGTGGTGCTTCTGTCTCTTGGGACTTTTGGCTATCTTTTCTTGGCGCTTTAGAAGGTGCTGCCTCAAAAGCAATGTTGTTTGCAGCTCCAATCGTTCCTCTTTGACAAAGCTTGAGGTAGTTTGCAATTTGGCACAGCATGATTTCATCTTTGGAGTCTACTCGGTGAACCGACCTTCGGGCCCTGCATTTTCACTTGTCCCCCTTCTTTTCCTTTTCCTCCTTTCAGTCCTTCTTTTCTTTGTCTCATCATTGGCGCTGATGTTCCAGATCCTCCAACTGCTCGCTTGCCTCAAAGCTCCAACGACTGGATGGTTGAGCCTTGCCTGTGCTGTCTGTGAGACCTGTGAACGGGGCCCGGGAGTGCCACATAAGCATGGCCATCATCTGCCGCAGCAATGCCAGGCCAGGCAATAGCGGCTGTGCCTGATGGTATTGATAGGCCTCGGCAGAGGAGCACCAAATAAGAGAGACAAGGATCAACATGATGAAACCAGGACAAGTGCCAGATGGACACCTTGCTGAGGCTGCAACATCTGGAGGACGGCCACCAGCCGAGAAGGGTGCCGGTGTCAAGGTGCCAAGTCGCTAAACTCCGATCCTGAAACCTCAAACAGAAACCGAACAGGTGCAAAACAAAAGCAGGTTCAACGTCCACGCATCTGTTCAGGCATGGAGCTGGGCTGACACACAAGGGTTTCCAGTCAGCAGGCGCTGGATCTCCAAAAGGCCAGAGCTTGGCAATCTTGGCACCTCAACACACACACACAATCTGCAAACCTCCAAATAAACCTCAGATCCTTACCTAGAGAGTTTCTCAGTGAAAGCTTGCTGATATTCTTTCCGCATTTTGACGTCCCAGGAACTGGGTAAGTTGGCAGGTTGGAGGGCATCCGCAAGTCCATGTAGTGCAAAGGGACTTGACCAAACCCCCCTGCCACCAAGGTGTGGTCTGACACGAGTCTAGCCAGAGTTCGGCATGTGAAGCCACCAGGCCAGGCCATCTCTACAGCTGTGACAGACCTGCAAGCATGTGTCCAACTCACACGAACACCAAGAGCTGGCGGGATCACAAGCCTTCGCAGGTCCCAGAGCATGCATGAGGATGGGCCCGCAACTGCAACATGTGGGCCCAGCGGGCTCACTGCTGGATCCCGCAATGCTGGCACGTTCAAGTACTCGGCGTGTCCATTCTGACAGCAAGGGGCCGCTACCATATTCCAAACAAATGTTTTGAGTCGGTAACACACCTGTGCACGTCCCATCACTGGGAAACCGGCCTCAACGTTGATGAGCGCTACTTTGTTCGAAAAGGCTGCAAGTGCTCGACCGCCTATCCAGTGCACATCAAGGGCCTGGCCGTCATCTCTTTTGCCTTGGACCCCGCTTGAAGCTGACGATGCAAAGTGTGCGAGTCAAGCGGGCTTGAAGGCGACTGAGCGAATGTCTGAGCAAAGTGGGCTGACTCCGTGGATCGTTCAGGTCATGCACGCTCAAACCACCTCCTTCGCATGAGAAACGTCACTGACAAATCAGCTTGCACCACAAGGTCCTGTCCTTTGGAGAGTGCAAGGAGCAGTTCTTCCCACAGGTCCACGTTCTTGATGTGTCCTTTTAGTTTGCTGAACCGAGGTTTCTCTTTCAAGGCATTGAGGTTCCACAAGCTCAATCCTTAGTTGTCACGGTTTGAAACCTCAGCCACGGGGCGTACAAAGGTTCGAACCAAGGCACCACTCTCTTTGCTGATCTCTCCCACAGCTAGCAAACGCTTATCATTTTGCCTCATGCAGCTCACAGGTCCGCTGAAGGGTAGCGAAAGAATTTCTGTGCTTGCCTCGGCTTGACATCAACAGGAACACTTCAAGACCCTGAATGACAGAGCAAGCATAAATGTTGTGCATTTACATCTGCCAATGTCAACACCTTTCCAAACTCAAAGTGCTGATGGGTCGTCTTGCATGTGGCGGACTCCTTTGCATAGATCTTTGGCAAAGGCCTGCATGTCGCTTTATATATGTCGGTGCGTCGGTGCGTTGATGTACAGATTGCATCTGATCATGCCTTGTCCTTCGTAGCTGCCACCACAGACAAGCTGGCCGCAAAGCCTCTACCACTGCAAGGAATCATGCAGCATTGTGATTACATTACATTGCGTTCCTTCAAAATTCTTGAAAGCCTTGCCTGCAGCTCCTGCGAGGGAGCTAAAGGTGCTGATACCCGAGCCGGACAACCTCAGTCGGCTCATGCCTTCAGACCTCAAGAACTAATCCACTTCCCAACATCAAAAGCCAGCAGCCAACAGCAATCACCTTCCAAAACCACTGAGGCAGGGAAAAATGCCTGTATTGAAGAGGACAACGTTTTCAGGGCTACAGTGAGTTGTGCGCTGGAAATTTGAGAAAGCATCAGGACCGCCTCCTCATTTCTGACAAGACACGAAGCACCGTCTGTACAGAAAAAGTTCTGGATCATTTCAGGCCACCAATCTGCATTTCCAGGGATCTCCTGCAACTTGGCTGACTTGAACTCTACGAGGCATACGAAGTCGCTAGGAGGAGAAGAATGATGCCGATGGGCGGCAAAAAAGAAGCACCTTGTAATTAAACAGGGTCATCTATGTATGTATATACACAAAAAGGATGATCTGCCAGAATGTACAATCAAGACTCTGTTTAAAAAAAAGAAAGAAAGAACATGCAAATATCAAAAAGTCCTGGTGTGCCACTGCTCGTGCCAATAGTGCAGCATCACGAAGATGCAAGGCCTCAATCTAAGAATGCACTCAACCCAAACAGAACAAATCATGAAGAGTCTCGGCTCAGAACCTCCACCACACCTCGCCACACCAAAGATGGAAGTGATGAAGGCAAGCCACCCTCTTTTCGACTTGGAGTACTAAAGCTCCTGAACACACCGGGAACACCTCTGGAACAATCTGCAAATTTCACAGGGCACAGCCTCAACTACAGCTGAGCCTGTCCGTTTGTTCCACTTTTTGCAGAAGAGAATCTCAACACTCCGTAGTGGCAGTTCCTGCACTGGCCTTATGATGAATCAAAAGGCCGAAATGACGGGTGAATCACACCAGCTTAGAACCAAGTGTGCATGGAACCAAGTGTGCCTGGATTTAGGCTATTGGGCGGCCTGGACGTCCACAAGGCGGAATTACAAAAAAAACTTTGCCTTGAGCTCTCTCCACCCAATGCGGTTTTTTTGGAGGCCGTTGTCATATGCACACTGGTGGGGCCCACTGGCACAACAGTGGTGGCAACACTGGTGGGAGTTCTGGGTTTCCCACTGGATGGGGGGAGCTAGGGGGACAGCGGGCGACCTGCAGCAAAGGTCAAAGCATTTTGTTGACCTCGACTTGCGAACCGACATCCAACTACCCTTCAATACATGGCAAGGACAACCACAAGAACAACCATTGGAGAACATACTGCGGGAAACGCCGTACCTGTACCACTGATAGGTGTGCGACACCAGTAACCTTGCAACTGAACACGAGTGCCTGCACAACAGCTTGTCCAAGGACAAACTGGCAGTTGCCGGGCTTATATGTTAAATGTTCTCCAATCCGGGTGGGGGAATGAAAAAACAATAAAGGATTCCCAAATATTCCCAACAAAAGTAGAAGAACAATTACACCAGCATAGACCCAGATAGCTAGGCAGAATCCCACGACCTGTTGACATGTGACTGGCTGGGACAAGAATGTACGCAGCCTGCACAGCCAGCTTACGGCACCTCCACAGCGCGCACAACCAGCTGACACCAGCACCGGTGCGCTTTGCCAGCTGACAACACCGGCAGCGGCGCCAGCACCCGACCAGCGCCGCCGCCCGTCTTAAACACGCGCTCAGCCAGCTCACAGCACCAGCACCGACACCCTTTCGAAAGCGCGCGCAGCCAGCTGCAGCAAGAACCCCATAGCTATCCCTATTGGGGGAATAACAACGTATGATCTCGCGCGTAAAAGTTGATGCGCACACAAGTATGCGCGCAAACAGCAAAGCCCAAACAGTATCCAGCACCACTATTGACTATGTAGCATGATTGAAGCAACGATCTGTAGAACGATAAGGCCGTATGATCTTGCGCGTATAAGTCTATGCGCACAAAAATACGCGCATAAACGGCAAAGCCCGTAGGCTTCACTCGCCCAAGGCCAAGCAGTATCCAGCACGACTATTGTGTGTAGCACGCTGAAACATGCTGAAACAATAGTCAAAGGTCGGTTGGGAGCCTGACGTTGCGCATAATACATTATACGTTCAAAGGTATGCACGCAAACAGTACAGCCCTTGACACAGCTGTGGGCCAAAGCAGAACTTGAAGAGTGTAAATACACGTGCACAGCCAGCTCACAGCACCGGCGCCCGGCGCCCAGCACCAGCACCGGCACCCGGCACCGGCACCAGCAACCTGTCTCCACCACGTGCACAGCCAGCTCACAGCACCAGCGCCCGGCACCCGGCACCAGCACCAGCACCAGCAACCTGTCTCCACCACGTGCACAGCCAGCTCACAGCACCAGCACCGGCACCCAGTATCAGCACCGGCACCAGCAACCTGTCTCCACCACGTGCACAGCCAGCTCACAGCACCAGCGCCAGCACCGGCGCAGCCAGCTCACAGCACCAGCACCAGCACCGGCACCCAGCACCCAGCACCAGCACCAACACCAGCAACTTGCCTCCACCACGTGCACAGCCAGCTCACAGCACCAGCACCGGCACCGGCACCCAGCACCAGCATCTCGAAAGCGCGCACGGGCAACTCATTGTTATTTGAAGTAAGAACCCCATAGCTTCGCTATCTGGGGAAATACATAGAGATCAACAAACAAGTTAGCTGCATTGCAATAAATACGCAAGACCAACGAGGAACAAATACAACAAAGAAATCGCAAAAGAAATCAGCAATAGCTTGGGCAGTGGCATCGCTAACAACAGTAGGGGTGGAAGAATAAGAAAAGAAAAATAATGAAATGCAATATATGACACAATTCCTGCAATTGATACCACTGTCTCCGAGAAAGCTGTCAATCGCCACGGGTGAAGATTCGATTTGACGGCAGAGGCTTCCAACAAATATCGGAATCAAAAACACACAGGGATCAAAACAAAACGAATAGGGATTAGAAAATCAACAAAATTAGAAAGAAAAGAAGACATGAAGGGAAGAAGGAAAGTATGAAAGAAGAAGAAGAAGAAGAAGAAAAACGATAATGTTGTTATATATATATATTATATATACAGTATGTGTGTGTGTGACCATAAACGGTCGGAAAGGTTCTATGTACATGGACGTGTCGCAGTTCGCTCTGCGTGGTGCCAGGATCCGAATTCAATCCCTTGACTCACCCAGACCGCCACGAGGGGGAGGCGGTGCGAAATCTGTGAAACTTTGCCTGCCGTGAAGTCATGTTTTCAACACCCATCGGACATCCTTTGCTGTTATCATGATCTTGTAGGCCACAACCGCAACCATTATATCAGAGAACTCGGACAACGTGTGAGAGAGTAGTCGCGCCGGCCAAAGCAAGATAAACTGCGCACGCTTACGAAGCCTGCTCGCTGTGACAACCCACAAAGGTAGATGATAGGGTTTCCAATGCTTCCATGTTTCCCCCTTGCCAAAGCAAGCGCAATGTGTCTAACTTACGTAACCTCCTACGACTACTGCTGCTGCTACTGCCATGGCCACTGCCACTACTACCACCAAACGCAGCAACAACGATCAAAAACCATCAACAGAGTCACAAGTAGCGATAGGAGACAATTGGTAGCCAAAAACAGCAAGAAAACGAATCAAGCAGCTCCATGAGACATGGTGAGAACATAATAACATATCATATCAGTGGTGAAGCAATTTTGTCCCAGGAAGTGCTGGCCTGAACCTTCTTATGTACCCCAGACGAACTGCTTGCACTCGAGTGGCTTCAAGGGTTCGGTGGAGCTGTCACAGGCCATAAGTACCAACTTGTCACAGTGCCAAACAATTGGGAGCTGAAGGAGCTCAATGTCAGATTTCAGCAAATTCTCCGCCTGCAATTCGCCGATTCGGCCTGTGGAAGAACCTTGCGTCTCGAACACCAGACTTACATTGCGTGTCGCCTCCTGCCATGGAAGCTGCCCAATGGTCAGGTGGAAATCAGAAGTAAATTCCGCAGCATATTCCTGGGGCTCACAAGCACAGGTCTTACAACAGCTGCTGCCAAACATTTTCCAAAGTGCCTCAGAGCTTCCGGGAAAACTTCCTTATGCACTTCTTTGCAAAGCTCTTCCAAGCGCTTCGACGAAACAAAGCTTGGCTTCAGTACAATGTACCTGAGCATACGCTGCACTACTACGCGCAAAACAGAGTAACGAGCATAGTGAATGCCACCGACACAACCTACCCCATCTCTGATGTGAGGCTCAGGCGTTCGATCCTTATCGCCATGGGATCCACTGGTCAGAAGCCCCACCTCGCACTATTAAGGCCATGGACGCTATTAGGAGCATGGACGCTAGTAGGGCTCCTGGCATCGCTACTAGGAGCAAGGACGCTACTAGCGGCTCCTGGCCTTACTACTGGGAACAATGTTTGCTATTAGAAACAAGAATTCAATCATTATCGTCATCGTTCATTATCTTTCCTCTTGCCGACTCTTGCCTATGTTCTGGCTCCAGGCTGGCCACAATATCTCTGTTTCAAAGCGCAGTGGTTTCTGTTTTCAGGCAGCGAACTCTCTGCGACCAGCTTGCAACATGAAGGGTTCCAAGTTCCATGTGGGTATGTGACAAGGCCTTAAAGCATGTGTGTTTTTTGGCGCTCTTCTGAAACCTCTCCATCAATGCTTTGCGTCGTCTTGCTGATCCTACTGAGGGTGGTGACTTGCAGGGGTTGCAATCTCAGGTTCCTGTGGAGTTCGGCTATTAGTTCACAAGCTGTGGAACTCACTGCGGGGAACATGAATTTTTTTTGCTCTGTGTGCATGTGTGTTCACTTTTGAGTACCCGGGAAACCCAATGTCAATTGCCATCTTTGCTGCGTGAAGCACTGAAGTTCCACTATGCCCAAGTCATTCAAAGGCCAAAAGGCCGGACACCGGACACCCAAATTCATCCTTTTTGTACAATTGAGCATCTTCACATGCATGCCTTTGGACCGCCCTCTCCCAGCCTGTGAAAGTTCTACTTCGAAGGAAATGGTGCCTAGCCTGGGCCCAGAGTGACTGCTCCCTCTGAGGAACCAAACACTGTCCTCTTCAAATCTGTTCATGTGCGCCATCCAAGAGACGTTCTAAGCTGATTTAGGCGAGCCAGGCCAGTCCTGGAGGCACTAAGTGCTCGGTGGTTGGCTGGCAGGTCCAGTGTTTGACTACTGATACATGTTTCATGGCGAGGACGTGGCACAGCTGCATGCTGAATGCTTTGGTAGGTCTCCCATGTACGATCTGAATGCCGCAGGTCCGGTGGATACCTTGCTTGCAAAAATGCCTGAGTAAAACCTGCCACGGGGGGCCCAAGCATCCTCAGAAGGTAACCACCAGTCCCAAAGTTCAAGAGATTCCGAAGCGTTGTTTGCATGTGGGGTCCCAATCATGTTTGTTGTTTCCTTTCTCACTGACGGAGACATAATCCACTTAAGCTGGGCCACGGGTGGCGCTACTCCCTAGGGCCTAAGGATAAAGCACGCACTGTTTAAGTGCGACAGGTTCAGTGGACACCTTGGTGAAACAAGATGGAGCCCGCGAACCCGAATGCAAACACGTTCCAGATGACACAACTTGTAGGACACTCTTGTGGCACACTCTTGTGGGTCACTCTTGTAGGAAACTCTTGTGGGACACTCTTACGGGACACTCTTGTGGGACACTCTTGTGCGACACTCTTGTGGGACACT